ATAGTTCTTGCTGCTAGAAGCAAAGTTTGTATCTGAGTGCGTCTCTTCCGAGCCCCAGATGCTCTTGCTCGCTCCCGAGTGCAGGACCTGCCAAGGGTACAAAGGTTGTGTAATGTCATCAAATATTTATGCAGCAACATTATGCAGCAGAGTTCAGAATGGCCAAACGACATATTACTAGCCAGAGCTTGGGTGGTGCGGAGCATCCCGGGATCCAGGAGGGCCCAAAGTTTTTCTATTAAGCTACTGCATAGTCTGGAGCCCAGCAGAAGTTCGAGTGTCTGCTCCCAGCTCCTGTGCAGGGCTCCTGGGTGCTCCGGTAGCCGTGAAGAGCTTTGTCGGTGGAGTCCCGCTGCCTCCCTCCTGCATGCCGGCTCCTCGCCAGCTGGATGTGGTACCCGAAGCAGGAGAAGCCGGCGTCCCGGTCCAGCCACTTGCGAGTGCTTCGCAGAGCGGAGCTGGTGAATTGCTGACACGAGGCGTGCTGTGCGGACAGCCGAGCGAGAGGGGCACGGCCGGAGCGATGGGGAGCCCAGTCGGCCTCTGGCTCTGCCAGAGAACAGCAGAACATTTCTCTGCCCTCCCCTCACCGAGGAGCCACTCACCGGGGATCTCGGAGCTGACGCTTCGGCTTTTTGTAGTCTTCACGTGGCGTTACATGGAGGGCGACCAGAATGACCTTACACCAGAGGAGCCAGGAAACCAGGATTTATCTCCATCACGTAGTGTGGCTAGCTTTTAGAGAAGGTTACCAAGAGGTTTCTCCCTTTTTTCAGGGTTTGCTGTGGTTTCAGTTGGGGAAGATGCTCGGCGTCCGCCGACCCCATCGCCCGGCTAGGGAAGGGTTCGGTGGTCGCTTGTTGAGTATCTCCCCCGATGTCCGGCTCCTGCGGCGGGCAGCACTAACCTGTATTTCAAACACAGAGACGTGGTTACCGGTGTGAAATACCCCGGCCCTTGGCTGCTCGTGTCGGCCAGGCACCAGGGTGCTTTCGGTGCTGACGGCACAGAGTGGGCAGCCGGACGGCAGGGAGCACCATGCCCGGTGGTGGGGCTCTCCTGGGTTCCCCCCTCCTCACTGCACTGGGAGCCAGGCCCTTGGCAAGGAGTGGAAGCATCTCCCTGCGCCTGGCTTGCCGAGTCCCCAAGGGAGGAGGGTTTTGAGAGCATTTTTCAGCTTTTTGGTGCCACTCAGTGTAGTCTCTATTTAGTAGGGCTTTTGGAAGATGCTGGAGTACTCCTGAAGAGCTTATGCCACTGCTCCTAAATCAGCCCCTTATTTATCTGAGGGTTTTAAGCTTTTGCTGTTGTCATTACATTTTCCTGGCAGATTTTGCCAAGCAGAAGATGTTGTGGGAGATGGCTGTCGTCCCTCCGTATTGAAATGGGCCTCCTGTTGAGTGCAGCCTTTTAGAAAGGGCTGTAAGTGAGCAAAATGGGATTTAGCCTCAGTAATGAAATAGGTAATCGGCTATTTAGAAGTGATAACCCATCCAGTTCTAATCTGTGTTAAAAAAAATAATTAAAAAAAGTAGCGATAAGGTCTCTCAGCTGATTTGTCGAGGCCTTGGGTGGTAATGTGATCATTGCTTCTGAATATCGGAGGGAAGCTGCGGTGGTGGGTGCGATGCTGCGCCCAGTCTGCCCCTGGGTCGCCGAGGCTGAGCGTTTGCCAGTGAGCTTTGTCCGACCAAACGTCTCGCCCACGCCTGCAGCCTCGGGTAGGATCGTATGGCAGCGTTTTTATTGATCTTCTCTGTTCTCGGTTACTTTAAGCTGTGGATTAGGTAATAGAATAAAAAATGAGGCAGAATGTGAAAAGCTTTAGGACATACTCCAGTGTTTTAAAGCTGCAGCTGACGTGCAGATGTCCCTGCCCGTGGTTCCCTCTGCCCGCTCCGATCGCTGCCAGTGCCCGGGGTCTCCCTGCCCGTCCAGCAGAACTGTGCTGCTGCCAGCCTCACCATTACCGGTTCTTCTATCGGTTATGGTCGGGTTATTTGTTAACGGGAAAAGTATTTGTTACTTGATGGATAAGTGCACAGCAAGGATGTGCTGAGATAGGCGGCGTGGCCTCCCCACCCTTCGACGTGAGAGCGCCGAGGCGAAAAATGCGTTACTGCTGTGCTGTGTGGGCAAATGGTGGGTCTCTTGGGGGGCGGGTGGGCAGGGGGTCCTGCCTTGAAGTCAAGGGATGTGTTTGTTTCCAGAAATGAAAAGGAAATGTGGAAGTGTTTGAGAAGCAGCTCCATGTTGTCCCTGTGAGTTTTATGACTAAAGAGAAATAGAGCCCAGGGGCTCCAGCATCTCTGTGGGCAGCTGGTTTGGTGATGCTCCGGTCCCTT